ATGCGCCACCACACCAGGCTAATATTTGTATTTTTAGTAGAGACAGGGTTTCACCATGTTGGCCAGACTGGTCCTGAACTCCTGATCACAAGTGATCCGCCCACCTCGGCCTCTCAAAGTGTTGGGATTACAAGTGTGAGCCACCGTGCCCAGAATCTTTGCACTTGCTCATACCTCTGCCAGAAAGACTCTTCTACCTGATTTTCCTGTGCCTATTCTAATGTCACCTCCTTAGAGAGGCCCTCCCTGGCCACTCAGACAATCTACTTGCCTCTCTCACAGGCACAGTTCGTCGCCTTACACTGTTTTATTTCCTCCCCATCACCTGTCATTCTCAGAAACCATTTGTTTCCCCCACTAGACAGAAGCTTGGTGAGAGCAGGGATTTCACATGTCGATTCACTGCTTTGTGCCAAGCATGTTGACCAGTGCCCCACACAAAGCTGGCTTGCAGTATTTTATTCAATAAATAAATGAACTTCCACTTGCCCATCTGAAAAAAGAGGGGGTTGTCTTTTACTAGGGTTCCAATCTGGAACAGTGCCCCACACCCAAGAGACCCTCAAACCACTAAAGTGAAATATAAAAGTTAGGGTGTTTGGTCCTTTTGAGAACCTGAAGGAAGCCATGAACTTTCTCTGCAGAAAAATCCACAAACACCCAAGAAGGAATCTGCTCCAGATGACCCCCAAGGGCCAGGTGCAGTAGTATGTTCCTGGAGTCCCAGCTACTCTGAGGCTGAAGCAGGAGGATTGCTTAAGGCCAGAAGCCTGAGACTAGCCTCGGTGACAGAGTAAGATGCAGTCTGTAATAATAATAATAATAATAAGGCCGGGCATGGTGGCTCACTCCTGTAATTCCAGTACTTTGGGAGGCTGAGGCAGGTAGATCACCTGAGGTCAGGAGTTCAAGACCAGCCTGGCCAACATGGCAAAACCCCGTCTCTACTAGAAATACAAAAGAAATTAGTTGGACATCATGGCACGTGCCTGTAATCCCAGCTACACGGGAGGCTGAGGCAGGAGAATTGCTTGAACCCAATGCAGTGAGCCGAGATGGCGCCACTGCACTCCAGCCTGGGAGACAGAGCAAGACTCTGTCTATAAATAAATAAATAAATATCCCCAAGGTCTCTCACCCTGGTTCAAAAGCCAAGAGCATTTGACTGTTGAATACAGGGTGCTGGTGGACTCTCCAGATATCTGTTTTGCCATCTGGACAGATGTATATTTTTATAGGATTGGTTGCTATAGCTCCCAGGCATTATAGGGACTAAAATTAGCGGAAGCTTTGTGTTTTTATTCATAAACTAAAATGATGATTCTGATGAGGATGAGCCAGTGGAAGTCTTTCCAGTTTTTGGCTTGTGTTCCCATGTGGCTTTCGGTTCAGGAATTGGAAGTTTGGTTGGGGCCGGGCTGAAGCTCTGGGACAGAGATCCCTCCTGATGGTCACTTCCAGGTCTTTATGGGTACACCCTGAGCCAGAATCACTCCCAAAAGGAAAACTTGGTAGGTGTTATATCTAGGGATAAGAGCATACGGCCGAGTGTGGTGCCTTACGCCTGTAATCCCAGCTACTTGGGAAGTTGAGGCCGGAGAACTGCTTAAACTCAGGAGGCGGAGGTTGCAGTGAGCTGAGATCACACCATTGCACTCCAGCCTGGGCAACAAGAGTGAAACTCCATCTCAAAAAGTAAAGAAATAACATTTAAAAAAAAAAAAAAAGCATCCTGGGATAGCAGGAGCCTCTGAAGCAAGGATGACTGACCTAGAAAGGAAGACCACTAGGACTAAGGCTGGTCTTCCTGCCATCTGCCAAGGGCTTTATAGGAAGGGAGAGAAGCACAACCCAGCCAGGTGTGATAGACCTGGGTGTGAGTCCCCGCTCTGCTATTGAGTCACTGAGTGACTTTGGGCTCATCCCTGCCCCTCTCTGAACTACACCTTTTCTTTCTTTCTTTTTAATTGTGTTAATAGAGGCAAGGTCTTGCCAGGTTGCCCAGGCTGGTCTTGAACTCCTGGCCTCAAGCAATCCTCCTGCCTTGTTCTCCCAATGTGTTAGTGTTACAAGCATGAGCCACTGTAACTGACCCTACACCTTTTCATTTATAAAATAGGTTGGACAGCAGGATAGTAGTAATAAGAGCCAGCATTTATTAAACACCTACTATGTGCCAGGCACCAGCTAAACTCTTTGCATATATTATCTGATTTAACCCTTATAAATCTGGAACTGTTATTATTCCCATTTTATAAATGTGCAATATGAAGTTCATATCAATAATTTGCCCAAGCTTATGCACCAAGTATATAGTAAATCAGAGAGATTCAAATCCAGGTTTAAGGGACACCAGAGCCCAAGTGCTTGACTACTGCACACTACTCCCCCCTCAATTCCTCTCCAGCTCTGACATATGTGGACTTCAGACCACACAACCCTCTCCTGAGTCAAGTATGTTGCTGATCCAACATTAGGCTGAATCAGCTTTTCATCTTGT